ATTACAAAGCTGTTACGACAGCCAGCTAGATTTAGAAGACGCTCATCACCTACACCATAATGCATTTGGAAGCAATTTTCCAAAAAGTTCTTTCAATAACCCGCTGTTAAGCTTAAGCCAATATTCTACGACAAAAAATGACTTGCAAACAGACCAGCTCCTGAGAAAAAACCACAGTAACACAACTTCAGCGCCAAAGGTGATTTCTTAACTTATTACCGCTAGATTCATTCTCCACTAAGGTGAAACTACTTAAGTCCACTTCCAACCCAACGCTTTGGTCCCAAGAAACTGTTTCGGAATCCATCCTAAAATGCCATTAAATAAAACATGAAAGCAAATGATTTTAGGTTTATGCAAAGAAAGAAAATGCAATTACTGCGAAAAGATATACTTGAAAAATCTGACCTGCCAGACTCTTCCTGACAACCAGAAATAAAGGAACTGTCTCTGTTTGGAGAACGACAATGAACACCATTTTTTTCCATCTTCCAACCAATAACAAAGGCAACTGCAATATGAAAGTGCATTTGTTGGAATTCCTTAACTAATCGACCCAGCTCAAATACCAAATAAAATTGTAAGGAAGTGAGACCGGTGTCAATGAAAGGGTAACCTCACCCAGAAAAAAAAGATAAGCGGTCATTAGAATTACGGAGAGTAACAAAAATTTGAGACATATTCACTACTGTTCTTCGGAAGACGTTGACGTAATGGATCAAGAGCCCAATACAAAAGCAGAATTACTGTAAAACCTAATCTGAATGCAGACCATAGAAACAATTGGGAAAACTTCTACTGTGCTACTCGACTTGCTTAGCAATTTCGACACGATTAGAAATAAAAAGACACGACTTTGAACCGAAAGTAATAAACACTAAACTTTTCAAGAGAAAAACAGACATGCCATGAAAGCCACTTATTTATATGTTTGTGATGAAAAGTCAAGGAGGTCTGACTACACGGCGAGAGGAACAACCTCTTAGAAAATCAAAAAAATAAAGTTTAAAAGAAGAAAAGGACCGCATCGACAGTGTTAATAAATCTTGCTCGAAAATGAGTTGTTAACAAAACATTTTTACACCTTGTCGATTTGTGGTTTGTAGAACGCTTTAGAACAGGCATTATAAACACAAAATCCTCTAAAGCGCAGTAATCAAAGAATCCTAATAAACCGCAAAAATGATTCTTATACGCAGCTCAATAACAAGTAGTTCTAAGGACCAAAAAAATACATAACTGCACTTGTGGTGTAAATAAGTGCGCTAGGATGCATCACAAATTAAAGACGATATTTTCAAAATTCACAGAAGATTATTTCACGCATAATTCCAATCCAAAGACGTTTCTTGCACTATCAATTTTCCAACGATTTTGACCGCCGAGAAACCATAATTATGCTCAGAAAATTTCATTACTCCTATAGCTAAATAAAACTTTACAGAATAGTTATTATCACTTTGGCTGATGTAGCTTCAAGGGCAAAGAATTATTAAAATTGACGTCAGATGCACAGCACTAGAACTCCAATACCATTATCACTTAACAACACTTCCCTTCAGAACCTATTAAGGCGAAAAAGAGCAGTTTGCTAAGGCATTGGCTAACTTGTCATTCAACAGCAGTACTTTGAAAAATACAGTTAGAGACCTGAAATTCACAAAGTCTTGACGAAGTCTGTCAACTATCAAATATGCCCTATCTTAAACCCAGCCACTCCGTACTCCTG